GGTCCCAAGTTCGATCCCCGGTACCAAAGGGGGAAAAAAAAAGCCACAGGTTGGGCTGGGGATTTAGCTCAGTGGTTCCTCCACTTGTCTCCCAAGCGCAAGGTCCCGACTTCGATCCCTGATACCCCCCCCCAAAAAAGAAAAAGCCACAGGTATCCCTGTCCTTTCCTGAAAAAATCCTCCAGTGGCTGGGTATGGTTTGCACGGCTAGAATCTCAGGAACTCAGGGGGCTGAAGCAGGAGGATCACAAGTTTAAGGCTAGCATGGGTATCTTAGACCCTGTCTCAAATTAAAATAAAAGGGCTGGGATGTATGGAGCTCAGTGGTAGAGCACTTGCCGAGTTCAATCCTCAATACTGGGAGTGGAGTTGGGGTGTAATTCCCCAACCGATCTGTGATTCCCTCCCTAACTGTTCTGTTACTGATTTCCTTTTACAACCAAACTTCCTAAACAGGTGGTTCCCTCTCAAACCCCTTCTTTCTAAACCACACCTGTTTTCCATGTACTACATTCTAACTTCTAGTCTCCACCCCACTATATAGATGCTCTCTCAGAAGTCATAAAAGTTTTTTTCTTTTGTGAAGTCTAACAACTGTTTCTTGCTCCCTTTAACCTCTTTGCAGTGACTACGTAGACTCATTCTTCTGCCAGAGTTCTGCCCACAGACACATCTACATATACATTATTCTTATATCCATTTTTAAATATTTTTAATTATGAAAATAATAGCGCTCATTGTCAAACAGGAAGACATCTAAGGATGTATAGAGAAAAACTTAATATTTTCCCCCTCAATTTCCACCCCCTTGATGTAACCTATGTTATTAGCCTGATACGTATCATCCATTCGGCGGAGGGAAGGGGCGGAGCCCTGGCGCTGGGCAGTTCTGGTCCTCTGCGGCTTCCGTCTCAGAGCGCGCCCGGAAGGCGGCCCGCGGTTTGGGGTCCCGGAATCCGGGACCTGGCTGGAGATGGAGTTCGACTGCGAGGCCGTGAGACAGCTCCTTGGCAAGGTGCGAACCGCCCGCCGAGCCAGGTCTGGGGTCCGGGGTCCGGGGTCTGGGGTGTCTTCCTCTAGCTGGCCTGCCGCGTCCTCGCGTTTCTCTGCCCGGTGAGCAGCGGCCCCAGGCACGGGGTCGGAGGCCGCCTGTCCCCCGGGGCTGTCGTGGCGCCCGGTTCCCAGCTCCCTCTCGCGCCGGTCCTTCCCACAACACTTTCCTCGCTGGCCTCACGCAGCTCCCGGCCCCTGTGGTCCCTGCGACCACGCCTTTCTCTCCGCTGAAACGACCTGCTCGTGGCCTCTTTCTCTGTAAGACCAGACTCTGTCAGTCCCGGCAACACTGAGTCACAGGCTCCGGAATACCTGCTTTCGAAAATGCCGATGATCACACCAAGGAGTGATTATTTGCAAACTTTCCTCCTGCCGTTGAGCTCTTTTGAAGGCAGAGACAGGACTTTTTATCTTTGCATTTCTTTTCACCGACCACTGTGTTTGGCAGTAACGTAGCACTAAGTATGAGGATGGAAGTCCTGAGTAGATTTGGGAGTGAAGACAGGGCTTGGAGGGTAAGAGAGATCTCTAGGTGTTGAAGCGGGAGGGCTGACCCAGAAGCCTGGCCTACCTTTCTGGGCCCTGACCAGCGTGAGTTTGTAGATCAGAATTGAGGACTCTTCTGACCTCTTAGTGCAGGCTCTCCCGATTCCCCACCCGTGAGCAGTCTGAGGTAATCCTCTTTCCACCAGTTTCTTCCTTGAGTTTTTCTTAATTTTCTTTTTTTTTTTTTTGGTAACGGGGATCGAATTTGGGTCCTTGCGCTTGCGCAGCAGGCGGCGAAACCACTGAGCTAAATCCTTGGCTCTCTTAATGCTTGTTAAGATTGCTCTGTGCAGAAACCACGTATTTGGGTTATTTATTTATTTATTTTTTGGCATCGGGAATCGAACTCGGGTCTTTGAGCTTGCACAGCAGGCGGCGGAACCACTGAGCTAAATCCCCGGCCCTATTTAGGTTATTTTTGTTGGACCTGCCTGTATCCCCTAATGCTGGGGCAATTTTCATCTATGGGAAGTTTTGAAGCCCAAGATTGAAATTGAGTAATTGATTTGAATGATTTTATCTACTGTGATAGGTGTAGGTCTTTTTTTTTTTTTTTTTAGGTGTAGGT